ATGTATCGAGATGTATAGGCAGCATCATGTGTGTATATCGAAGAGAGAACGGGGTAAGCTGGACAAGGACCCCCCCAAGGTCCAAACCAAGCTCGAACCCGTGACCTTGTAACATGTACTCATAGGACTCTACCATGTGAACGACTAGTGGAAATGGCACGAACGTGTGATATGCCAGACTGGGGAGATAAACAGAACACCCAAGACCAACACCCCCAAGCAACCCCTGTGAAACCCCGAACCAACATACAACACCATGAACAACCCTTGGGTGGTGCGCAGGCAGTGTCTGTATAAGCTTACCGTGCATCAGCCCAAGGGAGTGCATGTCCAGCCGTGCGTCAATCTAACGCCCTGCCGGTGTCCATGTGCAAGGTTGCAATTGAGTTTTGAACCCGCAACCTCATGATTTAATTCTGTTCCTTTGGTCGTGTTTGGATTCAAACTCGTCCGTGGTTGTACCTACTGAGCTATGGGCCCATTGCCATTGACACTCCTAGCTTTCTCGTTTCTCTGACACCAGAGAGACCCTGGTGTTGGAGGGAGGAACCAGTGTGTAGCAGCAGGGAGTTATGATCATTAGGGGTTGACGGGCGCGACTTAGCGCTGCATGGGTGCGTGTGCCTACGATGTTGCTATGGCAGCAAGCAAGTGGCGAGGCAAAGGCGGCGTGCAAGTGGCGAGACGCTGGCCACGGATGGACGGCGAGGCGCTGGCTGCTAGCAGGCGACGAGGCGCTACGGTTGGAGAGGCGCTGGTCACAAGAGAGTAGCGGGGCGCTGGCTTTTCACATGTGGCAAGGCGCTGGTGGCTTGCACTCGGCGGGTTGCTGACTGCTTGTGGGAGATGCGAGCGCTGATGTGGCATGAGCACCCAAAAGCTGCGTGAGTGGTATACGGCAGAAGTGGTGAAGTGGTCAGAGTGAGCGCTTAATGCACGCGCGGAAACCAGAGGCACTAGGCCAAGCCACGTCACGGGCTGACAAAGCATCTGGTCTAAGTCACAGTGGCGAGGGGAGAGTAGTGGCGGTGGCGGCTGCTCGAACAGTCTCTCTGTGACTTCCACACGAAGTACTCCACAACTAACGCCCCTTTAGGAGGCTGTAATGCTCAAGCAAGTTGGTGCAATGCCAATGTCAGTGGAAGAAAGTGGAGTTCGCCCCATGGAGACCGAAGTGTGTTGGACTTCGCTTGTCTACCTCATCACAACGCTGGCCCGCATTCTCACGAGGAAGATCATCAAGGAGTCATCATCAAGGGAGCTGCTCATTTTTGTTTTTTTTATTGTTTATCTTGTGCAGGTTATCCATCAAGAGCATCAAGATTATCATCATTGTCATCTCTGCAGGGAATCATCATCCGGAGTTGTTCATACTAAAGTGTATCAATTCATAATTCTTCATTACGGGTCAATGGGTCATCATCTTCACTGGCCATTATCTTCCTACTAATCACTGTCATCTTCTTTCATTATTACAACAATAGTGCTGTCAATCTTCCACACCGGTGCCATTAGGGAATAGCAAGTTCAAACGTTCCTTATTTATTTCTTGCCAATTTTATTTCATCATCATCATCATCATCATCATCATCATCATCATCATCATCATCGAAGTTTCTTTATTCTTTTTTTCATCAATCAGAGATATCTCTGTGTTGGTGGTTATATTCTCTTCGTCCAGATTGGTTATGGTCTAGTTGGTAGGAAGGATGGTCAGGAAGGGAGCGCTGGGGTAACACAAGGTGGGAGGTGATTGCCCTCTAGGGAGTAGACGCAGATGATGGGAGCTGACTTGGGCTGGGGCTGGGAGATATGTATGGGGGCACATTATATCCTGGCGGAGGCAGACTAGGTCAGAGTGTCAGATTTGAGGTACACCTTTTGGGGGAACTGGTTACTTCAAGGCAGAAAGGATTGGGGAGGATATCTCTCGCGTTGGGGCTAATAGGAACTTCATACTGATACTGGGGTTCAGATCAGCGGAGGCAGCGAGAGGAGAAGAGGAGAACAAGAAACGAGGGGAGAGGAGGAGAGTACATGGAGGAGGGGGAGGGGTGGAGAGGAATAGTCATCAGCATCCTCATCATTATCCACCAATTTAGTGATCATCTCAGGGTACTCGTCAAATTTCATCATCAGAAAGGTTTTTTATCAGGACTCTGATATTATCAGAGCCTAGATTTCTAGTTGGCATTCTAGCTTAGCTAATTTCCTAATTGAGCTTTTTTGTGTAATGGCCAGGTTGAGTTGGCACTAGAACGACGCTGGCCGGCGCTGGGGCGGTCCCCTGCAATCAACTTTAGTAGGAGCTTGAGGCTTTGTATAGAGGTCTGGGATTGCCGAGGGAGGAAGGTGATCTGCTAACTTGACTAATGGCTACAATCTGGCCGACGATGGTCGGAGTTGGGGTAGGTAGCATTGCCCTGTAACCGAGCCAGAATGGGGTGTGAGACCAGGAAGAGGCCTGATTGGTGCACAACACAGGCTCGGTTGTGATTGGTTGGTTGGAATGGATACAGGAATTTAGGGATAGGATAGTATTTGAGTGTTGGGTAGACAATCATTCTGATTGGTCATCATCTATCTCTATTTCATGATCTCAATCATCCACTCTATCATCCTGAATCATCCTAAATGATCCTCAATCATCCCAAATTATCATCAATGATCATCAATGATCATCAATCATGAATGTATTTCCATTATAAGGGACGTTGGGCCGGGTTCCCAGCACGTGCTGCAGCACGTGCTGCTCCCCACGAATAGATTGGAGCATTAAAAAAA